TGGGAGTTCAAGCATGTAGGGTACTCTACTCGCCTAATCCATGCCTCCTCATCTACACTGCTATTTATACCCATGCTAGTTGCGTGTTCAGTGTCTGTACTCTACATGCCACTGTAAGTGTAGACATACGTTGAGTCCAGAGAACTGAGTTCACGTCCTGTCTCTACCGCTTACTTGCTGTGTGATTTTGAGCAAGTCACTTTCTATCTCCAAACTTCAGTTTGCCCCTCTCTAAAATTCATCTAATACAACTTGCCTTTCTTTGTAAAGCACCTTGAGTGATCTACAAAAGAACAGCACTTTATGAGAGTAAAGTATTATTATTTATCCTGTCTGAAGGATCTCAAGAAAGGGAGAAACTCTTTGATGTGTCTGTCTCTTTGGATCAGTGTGTATCTAGCACTCCTACTCTCTTGAAGGCTTCCCATGCCAAGAGAATCTTAGGGCTCACTCAAATAGGCTCAGTGAGGTGACTACTATACTATTTCCCTCTGACCAGCCACCAGTAGCGAGCCATGCCACACAGCCAGAGCTCTTGCTAGGGCCAGATTGTGCAAGCCCTCAGCGGCCACAGGAAGGTTCCATTCATCTGTATCTAACCTATCCAGGACCAAAGCTTGAAGGAAGTGCATCCACTTTGTCCCAGAATTCTTGACTTCTCTGTATAGTCCCCTATTAGACCGATCTGCATTTTATTTGAACTGATTATTTCCCATTTATCTTCCATTGTTTTCAACTGACTACCATATTTTCAACTAATTAGTTATTTGACTGCATTTATCTAGGTGATTTGCCAATTGTGTTGTTTGATTTGTCTGATTCTTTGAATGCCTTGTTTTAACTGATTGCTGCCCATACCCACTGCCACCTCTACTTTGCTTTCTTCCATATTTGATAATGCTCAAAACTCCTTCTGACTCCTGACCACTTCCCTTCTCCCAAAACCTCTGAGAGAGAACAGTATGTGAGGATAAAGGACACTAATTCCTCAACTAGTGACTATGGGCCTGATCCTACAACCTTTACTCATAAGTAATTGTTTCTAACAAAAATAAGGATCACATGATCAGGTCCTCTGCTTTTATTGCTTAAAAGATGTTAGTTATGATCAGCTTCAAACAATGTGAAAGTTAATACTTTAAAATAGTGGAATTCATAGAGATTAAAATTTTACCTTCATTTTTTTTTTTTTTTTACATAATCAAGTCCTTAGGGCAAAACTTAAAAGTATTTAGGTATCTAGAGATGCAGACAGACATCTAGTGGGACTTTCAAAAAGCACCTAAGGAGGCTAGGCCTAGCTCACTTTGACACTTTTGTAAATCCCACTAGATGTCTATCTGCATCTTTATGCATATAAATACCTTAGTAAATCTGGCCCTTGATCTTTATCTAGACTACTCTGTATTTTCTATTCCTTCCTACAAGGCAGCCGAAGCACTAATTCATATTTACTAGAATAGGCTTGCAGATAACTTTAGAGTCTTTATAGGAATTACCAGCATCTACAAAGACGCTTCTGAAAGATTTTATATTGCAATTTATTTGTTTGTCCAATTAAAAGTTCAGTTTACCTTTTCTTTAAGATTAATACTACAATTCTCTCTGCTACTAGGCTTCTATTTTTTCCTTTCCCTGTATTACTTTATTGTATTCTCAAATTGAGTTGCTTTGAATTAGTAAATGTAACTACAGATATTGTTTTCAAATGTAAAATTTCCTCATTTTCCTTATACTTTTTTTAAACCTAAGATTGAGCTTCTCAAACACTTTCCTGAAGGTGCTAGCACAGAGCAAGGTCTTGCTAGAGAGCTTCAGCTTCTCAGGTAAAGTACCAAGAATCACTCCTAAAAAATGAACCCCCGCTCCACCATGTACAGAAATGAGACTGAGAAGTTCTTAGAGAGGAATACCCAGAGCAATTTTTACTCTTCACAGTATTTCAAATTAATTGTTTTACAGATTAACCAATAATCGGCTGGAGAAGGAAAAAGCAGAATTAGCTCACCAGGTGGAGGCTTACCGACATCAAACAGGCATCAATGCAAGCGAAGGCTCTGCAGCCGGTAGTCCTTTTCAGTATCTAAAGTATAAGGATTTTTCAATAATTTGGGCTGGAATCTGCTCTCATTTACTACACTAGTGAGAATTGGGAGTAATTCCATAACAGTAAATTAAATTACAACCGTGTATGTATTATACAACTGCTATCAGGAATCATGTTTTAGGCTATCCACTAGCAAGTTTACAGCTACTCAGTACCGCTTGTAACCACATAACAAGTGTCAGGACGGGGGTGTAACAGTGGAACTATGCTATTAAATTAAATTTTAAAAGCACCTTTGATCTAAAGAACATTTACCACAACTCCCTTCCTTCAGTTTTGGAATAGTTTCTCAAGAGAAGTGGTAGGAGCACTGTTGATTGAATCATTTAAAACTGGATTGGACAATGCACTGGAGTAAATGACATAATTGCTTTCTTCTGTGTTTAACAGTCTAGCACTGCCAGGCGCATTGGATTTAAAAAACAAAAGTTTCAGCAGAAACATTCAGCTATCACAGTGAAATTAGCAATGTTGGTCTTTAAACTTATTACCAGAAACCAAAGTTAATAAGACTTAATTTAAAAAAAAAGGGGGGGGGCATGTCAAACCTCTCAGAGCTATTGTTTCAGATTCATTTCAGATTCTGACTGCAGATTCATTAAGATAGCACTGCACTCAGTCAATCAAAATGTTTACTTCACAACCAAGACTAACCGCTTAATATTTTTCATTGAAACCTTGTTGTACAGAAATAGATGGAGCCACCAGAATAGTGTTGGGGATGACTTTTTGCCACATTGCAATATTGGGTAACTGGGTTTAATGTTCTCCACTATGTATTGCTTATTAAATATAATAGTTATGAAGAGGTTAAGCATTTTAATTGTCTTGCAGTATCTTGAATTTAGTAATCTAACTTGTCCTTTTCATAACATGATTATTTTTTAGAGAAAGGCAGAATTGACAAATTAATGGTAGATGTAGTAGATCTCCAGACACAGCTGCAAGCCTCAGATCTGGAAAAAAAGCAACTTACAGTGAGTATTGTATGGATACCACCACTGTGATATTGTTCACTTATCTTATGAACTAATGGACAGCTAAGAAAGAAGTTTGCATCCACCCATTAGTTGAGGTCTTATATCTGTAGTTACATTTACTAATTCAAAGCAATTCAACTTGAGAATACAATAGCTTATAGAATGGCCAGACTTATGACTTTTAAAGTACAAATTCTCTAAAAACAAGTTTATAGTACATCCCTACTCTATGGATTAATGCATGTAGTGCATGACAGATGGAAAGTGGCATTGTTAAAAATACTGAACCACTTTGTCAGCTTGTCGTCATCCGTGTCTCTCCCCTGAATGTTTCAGTGGCCAATAACTGCCACTCCTTGGCCCCTCCCACTTTTACAAAATGACTCAAACTGCAACCAAAACCTTCTTACAGCTGCATGTTTGGTTCACAACTTTGATGGGGCTATCAAGAGTATCAAATAAAAAGAGAGGAAGGGAAGTTCTGCTCTCTTTCAACTATTAAGGGGAGATCCAGAATAGAATGTACTCGGACTTGAGACTCAGTCCCTAAAGCTAGAGTCAGAAGAATATGTTATTTAGAAGCACAGCACTGTTTCCCCCCAAAAGCTCTTTTCTCTTATCACGTTATGTAATAATTATGCTGTACTGACTGTGTGATTAATTTAACAAAGCACTTCAATCTCACTGTAAACATTTCTGTTTCGACATATGGTAGGTACCAAACTTTTAACCCAGCTTCCTTTTTCATATACCAGAGCACCTGACTTGCAGGTGCAATTAGGTACTAAGGTATACACATGATAACCTGTACCTTTACATTCAGAGTGCACAAAGCAAAGCTAGTTTTTAAAAATCTATCCCATAAAGGAAAAGGCAATAACACAATTAATGTTATCATTTAGTCCTTTTATATACACGTTGACACAAAAACAGAATGTAGAATTTTGAATTGTAGTAAATTGGTACTATTCAATTCTTTTATTAGGAAGAAATCAAACAGCTGAAAAGAGAACTGGATAACTTTGACCCTTCCTTTTTTGAAGAAATTGAGGATCTGAAATACAACTACAATGAAGAAGTAAAAAAAAATATTATCTTGGAGGAGAAATTAAAGAAGCTTTCTGAACAGTTTGGTGTTCAAGTGGATATTCCAGCTAACGTGTCTATTGATTAAATCCATGTTAAGTATTTTAAGAAGTAACACATAAATTGCGTCACTTGGCGGTTATATGTAATACCACTTGTATGCAAGCTTGATTCTAATTTCTCACCGTTGTGAATTAGGACCAGCTCCATTGAAGTTACAATAGTTTGATACCAGAGAAAGAGAGATGCAGACTTTTCAAAAAAGTTACTAAAATCTTGTCATTAGTACTTCAGATGCTATAGATCTAGCAATCAATGTGAAAACTTGTCTTATTTCCTCCCCACTTGTTTTGCATATTTTATGCTTTAGTTCAGAAATGACAGCAGGAAACAGCAGGAGAGATCAAAGGATTTCAGCAATCCTGGGGTGAGGAAGCCCTTGACTACAAAGCCAGACCTGCTGCCTGACACTACTGCACAACAGAAAGAGTCGTAATACTTCAAGGCAATGAATATATATATGTATATATTGTGCTTAGATGTAAAGCTAATTTAATTTATTTGAAAACTGTTAATATTTTTATAGATTTAGTGTTGGTGAATGTATGGTACATGCAGAGCACAGATGTAAATAGAACCAAATTGTGAAAATACACAATTTGAATTGTCTATTTTTCTAAGTTAAGTTTTTGGAACATTACATGCTGCTCTTGATAGTGTAGTTATTTTCTAAACGGTTATGGACTATCACCTTCCTTTTATTTGTCTGTTTCTACAAAGCATTTTCAAAATAATTAAAACTAGTTTACTTTTCACTATTTATGCTCGCTTATTAACAAAAAAAAAAACAGTTTGTCCCAAGAGATTGGATAATGTAAACAATTTCACTACTTGGTTTTCAAGCCGTAGCACACTACTGCAGCATGGGTTAGGGCGGGGGGGGAGGGGGATTACAAATATTGTGGAATGTTTAAATCCAAATAAAAAATTGTTACAATTGTAAACATTTTTTAAAAATGTAGGGCCTGATTATGGTCTGTCTTACTGATTTAAATCTGTGTTACTTCACAGATATAATAGAAAGCATTGGGCCCAAACATGAGTGTTCTGTGAGTTGCAGTTTGACTTCAGAATAAACTGCAGGCTGTAAAAATTCAGAAACTCTAAAAGTTAGCTGACTTCTGTTTTTGTTTTAAAACCATCACTTTCTGCTTCACTATACAAGCCCATGGAAGCAGCTAACATTAAACACTGTCTTCCTCTTAGCCCCAACAGTTTCAACATTTAAGGCTCTTTCAAAACCAAACAACAAATGTGCTGAAATCTAAGAGAGGGAGATCTATTTTGGATTTGCTTTTACTGCTCTTTTGCTTCATATTATTGATCATATTTATGCCAATCATTTGCATTGTAGCTCCCTATGCCACAATTATTTGCAAAAATATCCACTTATATTGTGGGCAAAGCAGGAGAAGAAGGTACAATAATACATATGGCAGCCACCTCTGACAAGATTCTTTTTTCTCTTTAAACATCAAACTTTATATCTTTTAGTCTACTGAACCTCTGCCCATCCAGCTTTGAAAAATGGTTAAACAAACACTTTGGTTCAAAGTCACAGTCATATTTGGTCCTATTAACAGCAATGACAACTGGTTGAGAATTCAGATATGTCTCTGGAATTGGCCAGCACATACCAAGATGATGTCGATGGAGCTAAGAAGAGAGAAACAGGAGATCAGTGTAAACATCCTCATACATTTGACCACTTATTACAAATATCCATCACTGGTAACTCAACAGCTAGCTGCTGTGGTCACTGATGTCCCAGTTTTGACAAATCACTTACAAAGCTCAGAGCTCTTGTACACAGTGTGTGAAACTTGTATGTCAAATTGCTTCTGGAAGTTTGCCATATACCACTTCAAACTACTAACTTTCCTACAGCTGAAGTATAACAACTTGTTTTAGATAGCAGCAGGAATTCAGACATTAAAACTGAAGAAAAGCAGGGGGATAGGGATCTCAAAAAAAGTAGGTAGCAACAATTGCAACTGCTTTGATGAAAACTATGACAGCGTTATATTTTTTAGCTGTCATTTTAATGTCATTTAGCAGGTGAATGTGAAAAGTGGCAGACTACATCACTAAATAGTCCTCCACAAACCAGAGTTTGAAGACCATTCTTGCAGAAACAATGCCAGCTCATTTTGATTATTATAAAGTGATCCCTTGTTTTAGAAGGATCTGTTCTTCGAGTGCTTGTACATGTCCATTCCAATATAGGTATGTGAGCGCTCCAAGCCACTGACCCACAGAAAAAAAATCAATTGCAGGCCCCACACAAGTAAAAAACAAATTAATTTGTGTGTGTGTGGGGGGGGAGTTTAAAGAGAGAAATATAAAACATTCAACTCACCTGCCCAGGTGAGCACGGAGGCTCAGAGCTTCCCCCTGCAGTGGCGTGAGCCAACATTCGTGGCTTCAGCCCCACGGGGGGAGAGGGCACCAAGACTTGTCACAGGCCGGATGAAATTAAGCAATGGCCCAGATCTGGCCTGTGGGCTGTAGGTTCCCCACCCTTGCACTAGGGCAAAAAATTCCAGCAACTGTGCTTGGGATGCGCACACATCCACATTGGAATGGACATGTGCAACACATCTCAAAGAACAACAGTTACAGAAAGATTATAATAGGGTTTTTTGTTTTTTTTAGCACAAACAAGCCCTTGAAATAAAAAAAAAAAAAGACCAGCCATAATTGTTGGGTGCTACCTCCACAGGACAAGACAATACAGGGGTTTTCAATTAATTGTTCAAACTACTGGCATAACTTATTTAGGGTGGAGGCAGGAGTTTTATACATTGTTACTTGCTGAATATTTGGACCTATTATGCTAAGACATTTGTGTGCTCTTCTTGGCATCCACCTTAGAGAATTTGAAGGGGGGGGTGGAATGTTTATTGAAAGCAATGTATAGGATAATGGCAGGTGGATTTACCTCCATCAGCATAAATGACTATAGCAGTTTTTGAAGTTAATTTGTTTTTATAACAGTTAATAAATACCGTAAGTATTGCAAGGAGTCCAATATAGTTTGAAAAGCTACATCACACTGCAGTTACAAAAAGGTACAGCTGCTGGGCAAGAGAGCCATGTGTTCCAGCTACAAGAAGTAAGAAGTGGTATGTGGAGTGCTGGAGCCCTCCTGCCCCCGGAAAGAAACTGGGTAAGATACTCCAGTTGGCTTCCCAGTGAAGCTTGTACTGGGAGCAAAGATAGGTGACTAGTGCCTAACTCACAGTTTATGTTGAAAATTATCACACTGGGCTTGTGAGGAGCCGATCAAAGCTGTCGAGTGCTAATTTGAAAAATGATCTCAAAGTAGCTAAACTGATTCTCACCCAACTAGAAGTAGCAGTGCCTATGGTGTTTTAATCCAGTGCCTTTTACACTAGTAGTTTTGTCCTTGAAGTGTTTCAGCTTTTTTTTTTTTAAGTTTTGGGGAGTGCAGATTCACTCATGACATTCTAAAATAATTACCTTGATTAAATGTCCATCATTACAATGCCATACAATTCCTTCAATTTTACCCTCTCTACAGCTTTCAAACCAAGTCAATATATCACTGTGTTTCAGCATAGGTGGATTCTTTATTTCAAATGCTCCATGTGGTACAAGAAGATGAACAGGGTGCTTCTTGCTTCCTAATCCTATATATTAAAAAACAAAAACAAAAAAACCCACTGTTAAATCATGTACAGTCACTGAAGCCAAAATTTCCCTTATTTTTATTACAGCCACATTAAGAATGCTGTCACAGAATATTTCTGTCAGATACACAGGGTTGGCCTATAAAACACATTGGATGAAATCCAGGCTCAGCTGAAATAAATGGAAATTTTTCCATTGATTTCTAAAGAGAGAGGATTTCACCCCTTCTTTTCAGCAACAGAAGTAGATTTCCTGTCCAGGGTAACGTGGGATATTCATTTTTATTTTCATATTAGGGAGACATAACAAGTCTTCATAATTTTCTGATTCCACTGTATCTTCTTGCCCCATACAATATTATGACATTACAAATGTAAGCCAACAGAAGTACAGTAGTGTATATAGGCTGTATTCTCAGTTTTAAAGGTACAGCTTCTAGGAAATTAAATAATCACCTCTGCAGTTTGTATGGCAAGGTGCATCTAAAAAACAAGTATTTTTTTGTTTTTGTTTTTGTGTAGATAGATATCTTTGACTTTTGACATGATTCCAGATGTGTCCCATAACACTACTACAACCACCTTATCCAAAGGAACTACACCTTGACATGCTTACTACAGAAAAAACTCTCACAGTTTAAGAACTAGAGAGTTCTTAGTTCTTAAACTGTGATTTACCCTTAACATACTATTGTGGTGAGATACGTAAACAGCAAGCTTTATATATTTAAGCTCTACAGTTACCAAATGAAAATAGTCTAAATTAGATTAGAACATACTAAATCTCTGTTGCAAGCTAAGAGATTTCTGCTTCAATATGCTCTGAAGAGCCACAAGTTAACACTACTTGACACAATACTCCTGGGAGAATTATGCACCACTGCGCACATGCAGAATTCATGTTCCCCACAAATCCCGCCCCCTCCTCCTCTCCCCGTGACAGAATATACATTTTGTGGGAGATGTGCTTCAATTACATCTTTCATCCACCAGGGGTTGCTGTGGCACCAGAAGACAGGGCAGCTAGCTCACAAGCTGGAGCAGGGAGGGGTCAGAGGCTGCCTTCCTCACAGCATCCTGGCTATGTGGCCAGGTGAGAAAGCACAGAATATGGGGGGGAAGGACAAAGTGGGGCACACAGGGCTGCTGCGGTGGAGGGGGTGACAGCATTGAGCCAGGGGCTCAACAAGAGTGGGGGCTACAGAGCCACATAGGAACATGTGCAGATATGCCTGGCTGAATGGGGAGTCGGGGTGCAGGGAAACACTGGGACAAGGGCAGATGTGCCTGACTGAATGGGAGAGGCTAGGGGTCAGCCAGGGTCTGCATGGGGGAGGCTCCCCAACATCCCCCCCCCACCATCAAAAAAAAAAATAAAAAATAAAAAACCTGTTCCATACTTCTCCTACCCACACTCAACAACCCTCCAGGTTCACTTTCAAACTCCTCCTCTCTCCCTCAGCTGCTCCGTTACCCCTGACTCCCCCAAGCCTTTCCACTGCTTCTGAGGAGTATGGGAAATATATTTCTGTATTGTAGTTTAAATGAATTATTATTCAAAGTTCTGTATTAATATGCTTAGCCAGGAATCTGTCAAAAAAACATTTGCTGAATCTTTTTTGTTCTCTGTATTGTTACAGACATAATTGCTGGCAGGTATTTTGAAATAAATTACCAAAATAATTGAAACTAGTAGGATTATATAGTTATTTTCACAAAATATGCAGAATTTTGCAGAACTTCAAAATATTGTGCACAGAATGTTTAATTCTTTGGTGCTGAATTCCCCCAGGAATAACACAAACTTCATGTGTCGTTATTGAAGTGATAATAGGGATGCTATAGTAGAACTATAGCATACTCTTCCTGCTATGCTAGGACAAAAGCTGTTATGTTCGGAATAAACTGTTACAAGTAAGCACATGTAACACTCCAAAGCCTATTTAACCTGCTCATTTTTAAACTGTGTTATAAAAGAGAGAGAGAGGTGATCATTTTGTTCTATCAATGTATATATATAAATAAATAAATATTTCCAGTGAAGTGTAATTTAATGTTTGTTTCCCAAGTGGTGTTGCACCCTTCTTTGGTTCTGAGAAAAGATGTCTGTTTAAATGGAAAACAAATGTATATGCTCCAGTCATTCATCCAACTTCACTGCAGCAGCAGTTCACCTCAACCCAAAAGGAAATTTTTTTGTGGAGGCCTCTTATTAAAAGTTAGCAGCACATCACTGACTGGCTTTGGAAAGTGGAGCAAACATTGCCCCTGCTAGTTCAAGGTTATGTCTTCACTGCAAGAAAAAAGTGTGTTTTTGCATTATGATAGCTATCTTGATGTAAAATCCTAGTGAACACATAGCCTGGGTAGTTTTTACCTGAATGTAACTAATTAAGGTCAACCCATGTGGAAGGCACAGGGATTAACTTGACTAGCTGCACAGAGGTAACAACTACAGTACTATATCAACTTAGCTACCTTGTAAAAACACAGCTATTGTTTGTAGTGAAGACATAGTTGTAGTCTTGCATGGAGGAGAAGAAAAGTATCTTAGTGGCAACCCTTTGGAATTACATGCAACAAGTTGGGAAGGGAGAGAAAGATAGTTAAAGAGACTGTGTGCATTGTGTGGAAACTGCCAATCACTGAAATATCTAATAATATCTCTGTACTCCACCCTTTGGGCACTACTGTAACTATCCTCTCATTTTCATTTTTAAAGGGTTATAAGTGGGGTTCTCAAACTGGGGGTTGTGAACCCTCAGGGGGTCACGAGGTTATCACGGTGGGGGGGGGGGGGGAGAGTCCGGAGCGGTCAGTCTCCACCCCAAACACTGTTTCACCTCCAACATTTATAATCGTGTTAAATATTTTTAAGTGTTTTTAATTTATGGGGGGGGGGGGTCGCACTCAGAAGCTTGCTGTGTGAAAGGGGTCACCAGTACAAAAGTTTGAGAACCACTGGATTATAATATGTTAATAAGCCATTTTGGCAACATAAAAGTTGCTTCTAATTCATGGAGCTTAATTAAGTCATTCCAATCTCTTTTATTTTGTAATTAAGAAACACCATACCATTCACTCTCAATTAAAACACATTAACATATTTAAGGTTTTAATGAGTATTAAACAACAACACGTTATACTTGCCATATGGATTTGCATTAATATTAGTTCCAATAAGCTCCAGTGTTTGTTCCAAAAGATCTGATAATGGCACAGAACTGATTTCCAAAAGTCCAGGATCATCAGCATGGCACTTCAATATAAGGGCTATTTCAGCCTCATAATTAACAACAGATGAATGCCAGCAATATTGTTTGCTATTTTTCTCCACTGGCACCCAACCTATGAGAAAACATTCCATTTTACTTCTTGTCAATCACATTAAAAGCTGTACATGCATTAGAAAGTAGCTGTAAACTATAGCATTCTACTAATATGAAGAGCTACATATCTAATTATATTTTTACAAGGAAAATAAACTTATCCCAAGGACAAAGTTACATTGTACTCAAAGAAATGTGTCAAAGGAATTTAACAGGGACAACTGTCTCTTTTGGCTCAAAGCTTTGCAAATCAGCAAGGCCAAATGCCACAGGAAAAAAAATTTCTACGACAGCGGAACAAAGCACGACTGAATAGCGAGTAAATGACATTCAGCAAGTCCCTTCCTAACATATGGTACTATGCAGTGTAGTGTAGTGATATCGGTCCCAGGATATCAGAGAGGCAAGGTCGGTGAGGTAATATCTTTTATTGGACCAACTTCTGTTGGTGAGAGAGACAAGCTTTTGAGCCACACAGAGCTTTTTTCAAGTCCGGGAAAGGTACTCCCAGGGTTACAGCAAAATTCATGGTGGAATAGATTGTTTAGTATAAGTAGTTTGCACATATTGTAAGGGATCATTAAAGGCAGAGTGATCCGTTAATACCTCTGCAGTCATAGGACAAAGAAGGGGGGTTAGTGTTGTAATAAGCCATAAATCCAGTGTCTCTGTTCAGTCCACATTTTTAATGTCTAGCAGAGTAATGAATTTTTGCTCCCAGACTTGTCTTTTGAAAGTGTTGTGCAGGCTTCCTTTGAGCATGAGGGACTGATAAGGTCAGATATAGAGTGATCACTTTGTGAAAAGTGTTCATCCACAGGTGCGAGTTCATTAGAGAGGGTAGTGATTGGCTTCACCCATAGGCACCGACTTCCCCTCTGCCCGGTGGGTGCTCAACCCCCACCCGTCCCTGGCCCCACCCCTGCCCCGTCTCTGCACCGCCCTCGTCCCACCCCCCATTCCACCCCTTCCCCAAAGTCCCTGCCCCACCCCGCCTTTTCCCACCCCAGCCCTGCCCCCTTCCCACGCCCTTCCCCCAAGTCCCTGTCCTGCCTCTTCTCCACCTCCTCCCCTGAGTGTCACGTCTCTGCTCCTTCACCCTCCCTCCCAGAAATTCCTAAGCGCTGCCAAACAGCAGGAAGAGCAGGGACCTGGCGCGCTTGGAGGGGACGGGGGGAGAGAATGCGAGGGGGGGGGAGGCTTGGTTGCCGGTGGGTGCGGAGCACCCGTTAATTATTCCCTGTGGAACAAGGAGTCGGCGCCTATGGTTTCACACACACACACAGTTGTTATTCAGGCACTTAGTGCTCTGGAGGAGGTACACCATAGCTTGAGGTAGGCATGTGTAGGATCAATGAATCTTGAAAGGTGTGGTGTGGGAGGTGTTGATCATTTTAGCAGTGGAAAGGTGTCTTCAGGTTTTGCATCTATTGTTCTGGCAGGGTCTGGTGCCATTTTGAGTCTTGTTCTGTTGGTATTTTAATTCTGGGCCTAATTCTAATCCACTTTAGAAGTAGAGAAAAGTCCCCTTTTCATTTAAACCAGACTGTATGGTATATACCTGGAATGTGTCCATTTTCATCAGGCAAAGGGTTTCCACTGGATTGCTGGATTTCCTTTGCTGGAATCCAGCATTCTGGGACAGGTCTGAAGTCTTCTTCAATATTCCAAATAAATTACTAAAAAAAAAAAAAGGTAAATATTTATTTTGTGACAAAACATTAACTAATTCTACCATCTGATCATCTTTCAAATAATCTGACATAGGAAGAGTACCAGCACTTCTGAAGTAGTTTTTTGTTCAATTTTTGTTTTTTAAGTAATTTGGTCTACTAAGATATTTAGGCAAAGAATTTCCATTCCCACAATCCTGGACTTCTGGGGCTGCTCTCCTCTCTGCAACTCATGGAGGCAGGGCAGCCTTTTAGCGCTGAACGGTCTGGCTAGAACATCTCTGTTCCTGCTTGCTGCCAGATTCGCTGCAACTGCAGCAGCAGACAGTGGCAGGTTCTTTTGCTCCTGCCCTACCTCTAATTTAACTTCTTTGCTCAATTTTTGGCCAGTGGGGAGCAGTGTTCTCCCTTCTCAGAATTCCTCCCCCTCCCTGAGTCAGTTAACCCTTTGGGAGTTCAACCTCCCTGAACCGCCACTGCAGTGTCCCCCTGCTTGTTCCTCCAATCTTGAACGTCTACACGGCTATTAAACAGCCCCTTAGCTTGAGCCCCTGAGCTTGAGTCAGTTGGCACGGGCCAGCCACAGATGTCTAATTGCAGTGTAGACATACCCTCTGACAATGAGTTTCCCCCTCCCAGGGACAATGGGACTGGGTGGGAAGGATTCTGAGAAAGAGCTTTCGAGAGGGTCTTCAGGTCTTAAGGAAGGCAAGCCGCAAAAGATCTCACCAAAGCCACAGCAGAGTTTCTGCACTCCCAAAGCGCATTCAAAAGGTTAAAAAAAAAAAAATCTAAAAGGCAAAAAAGGGAAAGAAAAAGCACATTAAAAAATCCAGAAGTTATGAGTCCTCTGATTCCTCTTCCTCCCCCACTGAGGAAGATGAGCTTTCTGACTCTGAAACCTAAGCAGACTCCTGTGAGTAAACTTCAGAGTAAATTTCTCCCCTCAAAATCCTCACATGTGGCTGCAATATCCCTTCGCTTCTCCCTCTGAGGAAGTGATTAGGGATGGATGGAACAAACCTGGAAAAGGCAAGCATATTAACAACAACGACCTCAGACTCTACAACATTCAAGAACCCAAGGGCTCTATTACTGATAAAACAAAAGTTGATGCCAATGTAGCGTCCCTCACCAGGGATATGATTATTTCCTCAGAAGTGGAGTTCAAGCTTAAGGAACCCACGGATAGAAAGATGAAGGCCACTCTTAAAATGGACTTTGAAGCTTCCTCCACCACTCTCCAAGTATTCCTGCTTTACAAGAGCATCTTTTTCCTGGCTGTAATATCTCAAGGCCTTTAAAGAGAGAGATCACCCTGACTTTTACTCCACTTTAAAGAACTCTCCCTAGAAACAGTGTTTGTAGCTGATGCCTCAGTGGATGCAAAGAGGTCCAGTAGCCAGGCGTCACCTATGGCTACAACCCTGGAAGGTGGATACTCACTCTAAGGCTAGGTCTACCTTGGGGGGGGGGGGAGAGGGAGTCGACCTAAGATACGCAACTTCAGCTACGCGAATAGCTCCTCCTGGCTGGGAGGACGGCGGTGAGTCGACTGCTGCAACTCCCCCGTTGACTCCGGTTCCGCCTCTCGCCGCGGTGGAGTTCCGGAGTCGACAGCAGAGCGATCGGGGTGTAGACGCGATAAAATCGATCCCCAATAGATCTATCACTACCCGCCGATCCGGCGGGTAGTGTAGACGTACCCTAAGCATGTCCTATACTCAGCCAAGTTTACAGGCTCCCTCCTTTTTGGAGAAAAGCTGGATATGGTGGTTGCTGACAATGTGGCTAAATCCAAATATTTTCTCCCTGCCCACTAAGTGCCCACAGAAAAGAACAGAGACTGGCATTCAGAAAGAAGTGCACCTTTCCTCTTCCCCACAGAGAGTCAGATTCCCCAAACAATGGAATTAGGGAGTGGGGTGAGGAGAGAAGAAACAGTTCAGAGTGACCTCAGCCTCCCTGAAATCCACTTTATGACAAAGATCTCATAAGCCTTCACCAAGAGCTGAAGCAAGGGGACAGGATTTCTCATTTCGTAACAGAACGGTTTTCATCGACCACAGACAAGTGGATCAGGGAAATAATAAGCCAGGGATACTCTCACAGGCTGTGGGCTCCACCCCATCCATTCTTCATCCAGTTACCCAGCTCTAACAACCAGACAATCCAATCCAGAATGAAATATCTTATCTTCTGGATATGGGCATGATACTGTACAGAAGTGCACAGGGGGTATTTGAGCCATTCTTAACATCAAAAGGCTCAACAAATAGATGAAGAAAATGAAGTTTCAGAAGAAGACCCTGCCCACCAATGTCATCGCTGTCCTGGGGGACTTCTTTACTTCAGTAGATCTAGCAGATACATATTTTCATATCCCCATCAGACAGTGCCACCGCAGACTTCTGAGGGTTGCCTATGGCAGGAAAGATTATCAGTACCAAACTCTCCTGTTCAGCTTGTTTCAAGCCGCAGGGTTTTTACAAAGATGATGTTGATGATAATAGCCACAGACAGGTCATAGTGAACTCAGCTGTACCCTTTCCTGGACAACATCCTCATCAGAGTTCCAGTGCAGTCAGCAGCACGCGGGGCTATGTTTCAGACCCTCGTCAGATCTCTTCCAGGTGCATGGCTTCATCATAAACGCGAAGAAAAGTGCTCTGGTTCCACCCAGGAATTTATTTTCTTACTCCAGAGCTGCAGGCATAGCTCTATGCCTCGAATTGCTAGGACTCCTTGTGCTGTGTATGAGGAACACTCCATAGGCACAATCACGCATCAGAAGTCTTCAGCCTTTATATTAAATGTGTGGGACCACTCCCCAGAACACATGAAAGATCAAGTACAGATTCCAACATATGTATTCAAATGATAAGATAAGCTCTAACCAGCGTTTTTATGCTGACCATCTGCATAAACGGAGAAGGTCACAACTAAGTTACAATTTGGGCATGAAAGATAAAATGTAAAAAAACTTGGGCAGAAAGGAGGACACATAGGTAATGTAATTGGTAAAATTTTTGTTATTTAGGTATGTGGGATAATGTGATAGGCTTAGTACATTTGAAGGAGGTAGATAGCTTTACCTATATAATATAAATGAAAAACAGTGCTCTTTGGGAGCCCTTTCTGAACTGCAGTTCAACATCAAGCTGCTGGAACTTATAGCGGTGGTCAGTCCATGGCAATAACCCCAATGATATGCCCATCTGCCTTCCAGATCCTTTAGTCCTTACAATTGACTCCAGCCTAGAAGGCTGGGGTGCTCACTTGAAGACCCAAATAGCCCAGGGCCTCTAGACTGAGAACCTCAAATGGCTTCAACTAACAGCCTGATTACTGAGAATGAGACATTCAAGTGCTTCTGTCTGTCCTCCACACTCATTGACTGCTTTAATCTAGCAGTGTCTCAATACTAAAGCGTACTCTCCTGTCTGGTCAGGATTTAACAACATGGTGCCAGGAGCACAATGCAAATCTCAGAAATCCAGGAATTCCAATCATTCTGGACTTTCTCCAGGAAATCATAGACACAGACCTTCAGCCCTGCACCATTGCACGCCAGATATCTGCTCTTAGTAGCATGTTATTCACAGGATCCTCAGACTCCCTGCAGACAATCCACAGGTGGCTAGAGTCCTTCAAGCAGTCTGATTAGCCAGACCAGTGGTCAGGCCACTCTTCCCAAAATGGGACTTTCTGCTAGTTCTGTACGCCCTGACAAGCCTCTGACTTTAGTATTAATCTTTTATTTATCCATAAGACTTATTTCTTAATAGCAATTACGTCTGCCAGGCAAGAGTCTGTGCTGGCAGTCTTATCTATACAGGAGCCTTACTGCATGTTCCGTGAGGACAAGATGATGCTCAGGACAACAGAATCCTTTCTTTGTAAGGTAAGCTCTTCCTCCCACACTTCCCAAGTGTTCCTCGCACAATACAGGGCACCCCGCCTATATCCTACTGAGGGCTCAAGGTGTGACCCTGTCAATTTAGGCACCCCAACCCTATCCCTCCAAAGGCTCGGGGAGTAAGGCACCTACCCTTTCTCATGGGGCTCAGGGAGAAACCTGGTCAATTTAAGTACCTGCCCTTTCCATGGGGCTCAGAGCTCTACAGGTCTGCATGATCTTTTCCCAGTGAAAGAGCCTTACACAGCTGTGCTCTAAACATCTATTTATTAGCAGCACACACAGAATACATATACCATGCAAATCTCTTATGCTCATCACTCCCAATATACAGACAAAATTCACCCAATCGCCAGTCAGGATCCACTCATCTGGGGATTTCTGGTGATGCCTCTGCACATCACGGTTGTGCAAAGGGGTCAGAGTTCCAGCAGCTTGATGCTGAACTGCAGTCCAGAAATGGCTCCCAAAGAGCACTGTTTTTCATTTATATTATATAGGTAAAGCTATCTACCTCCTTCAAATGTACTAAGCCTATCCCACATCCCTAAATAACAAAAAATTTTACCAATTACACACTGGCACCTGTGTCCGCCTTTCTGCCCGAGTTTTTTTACATTTTATCTTTCATGCCCAAATTGTAACTTAGTTGTGACCTTCTCCGTTTATGCAGATGGTCAGCATAAAAACACTGGTTAGAGCTTAACTTATCATTTGTTGAATTTCTTTCTGTATCCTCCGTAATTTCCCAACGCCTGGGTGTGTCTACTTTACAATGCTGGTGCTTATAACTCTCGCTAGGGACATTCCTGAGGTGTGGGTGCTTTATCAGCAGCAGAACATTCCTTTTTTCAATTTTAGTGGTGAACTCCCTCAGTTTCACCTAAGGCTGGTTTAATATTGGGGAAGGGGGGGAGGGAGGTTGATCAGGTCTCAGGCCTACACAAGAGGATGTGCATCCTTCATTCTGTTCAAAACCACAGCATCCAACTAAAAAAGGCACAACATCTTATATGTCAAAAGGCATTGAAAATCTCTCTCAAACATACAGAATCCACAAAAATACCAGGCTCCCTATTCGTGTCTTTCCACCCAAAATGCCAAGTACTCAGAGCTCTCCAAATCCTCCATCGCTAGGTGGATTAGACTATGTATTGTGGAAGCCTACAAATCATCAGAGGCTCCTGTCCCAGAAGGGATCAAGGCACACTTCATGAGATCCTTAGCAACCTCATGGGTGGAACAAGCAACTGCATCCACTGCGGAAATCTGAAAAGCAGCCACTTGGTCTACAGCCAACCCCTTCATTAAGTATTATGACATGGACCTTCTATTTTCTGCAGAGGCCTCCTTTGGCAGGAAGATGCTGCAAGCAGTGGCCCAGAAATGAATACAGACTCACAAAAAGTGGGGTACTTCTTTCCTACCAAACTTTTGTTTCATAACCTCCCTACATCTGTTCACTGCTTGCTACTTTCCAGATGTCCAGCACTGTGGGAGATGCTAGGCTGCAGAATGGAAAACTTCTTACTGATAATTTCTTTTCTGCTAGCAGCATCTCCCAAAATTCCCACCCTGGATAGTTCATGAGTCAAAGGTCAGATATTAAGTGGAATCCTTACCATATGACCATCTTCCTTGGTCTAATGTACATAGCTATTCCATTATCCCTGGAATGTTTTTTAATAATGATGTTATGCAAATTTTTCATCTTGGGAATAACTCATTTGGCAGCAAGCAGGAGCAGAAGGACTGTGGCCAGACTGCAACACTAAAACACTGATCTGCCTCTGAGAGCTGCAAAAAGAGGAACAAAGCCCCACCTTTAAAAGGGGAAGAAGGAGAACCCGGGAAACTACAGACCGGTCAGCCTCACCTCAGTCCCTGGAAAAATCATGGAGCAGGTCCTCAAGGAAACCATTTTGAAGCACTTGGAGAAGAGGAAGGTGATCAGGAACAGTCAACATGGATTCACCAAGGGCAAGTCATGCCTGATCAACCTGATTGCCTTCTATGATGAGATAACTGGCTCTGTGGATATGGGAAAAGCAGTGGATGTGATCTATCTTGACTTTAGCAAAGCTTTTGACAGTATTCTTGCCAGCACGTTAAAAAAGTATGGATTGGATGAATGGACTATAAGGGGGATAGAAAGCTGGCTAGATTGTCAGGTTCAACGGGTAGTGATCAACGGCTCGATGTCTAGTTGGCAGCCACTATCAAGCGGAATGCCCCAGGGGTCAGTCCTGGGGCCAGTTTTGTTCAACATCTTTATTAATGATCTGGATGATGGGATGGATTGTACCCTCAGCAAGTTCACTAAGCTGGGGAGAGAGGTAGATACGCTGGAGGGTAGGGATAAGGTCCAGAGTGACCTAGACAAATCGGAGGATTGGGCCAAAAGAAATCTGATTAGGTTCAACAAGGACAAGTGCAGAGTCCTGCACTTAGGATGGAAGAATCCCATGCACCACTACAAGCTGGGGACTGACTGGCTAAGCAGCAGTTCTGCAGAAAAGGACCGGGGGATTACAGTGGATGAGAAGCTGGATATGAGTCAGAAATGTGCCCTTGTTGCCAAGAAGGCTAAGGGCATATTGGGCTGCATTAGTAGGAGCATTGCCAGCAGATTGAGGGAAGTGATTATTCCCCTTTATTCGGCATTGGTGAGGCCACATCTGGAGTATTGCGTCCAGTTTTGGGCCCCATACTACAGAAAGGACGTGCACAAATTGGAGACACTCTAGCGGAGGGCAACAAAAATTATTAGGGGGCTGGGGCCCATGACTTACGAGGAGAGGCTGAGGGAACTGGGCTTGTTTAGTCTGCAAAAGAGAAGAATGAGGGGGGATTTGATAGCTGCTTTCAACTACCTGAAGGGGGGTTCCAAAGAGGATGGAGCTCGGCTGTTCTCAGTGGTGGCAGATGACAGAACAAGGAGCAATGGTCTCAAGTTGCAGTGGGGGAGGTCTAGGTTGGATATTAGGAAACACTACTTCACTAGGAGGCTGGTGAAGCACTGGAATGGGTTACCTAGGGAGGTGGTGGAATCTCCATCCTTAGAGGTTTTTAAGGCCCAGCTTGACAAAGCCCTGGCTGGGATGATTTAGTTGGTGCTGGTCCTGCTCTGAGAAGGGGGTTGGACTAGATGATCTCCTGAGGTCTCTTCCAACCTAATCTTCTATGATTCTAGATATCCAGAATTGTGGGAGATGGCGCTAGCAGAAAGGAAATCCTTGATAAGAATTTTTCTGTTCTAGCAATGAATTTCCATTCTAGCAAAAGAAATACCATGAAGGAGACATGCACTCAGAAAAAGTTTAGTATTTAATACTAGCCCAGAGTGAGGATCAAGTGACTATTTAGCCAAAATTATAATGATAGTACATGAAGATAAGTAAAGTCATCATAGTATTTGAAAAGAAATATAAAAGTTTTGAGCCGGATCATTAATATTTCAACATAATACTGGTTTTGTTTAACCAAAGGTCTTTATCTCAAAGAAATACTTCAATTACCAAGAGAAAAAGAGAAAAAAACCCTCACTGACCTTTTGAGTCTTCCATTGAATACAGGAATCTTTTAAACCTTTTCTCAGATAGTTTGTTGGGTTTTCTATCCAACCTCGCCCAAAGATACGGCTGCCCTACAGGTTTCACAATTACGAAAAAAAATTAGATAATAGCATGCAAAACAGTATTTCTGCCATTAAAATGGACAGTTTAACATGAGAGGTAAAATATCCAACAGTAAATATTCTATTCCCTCCTGCCTTCAAAAAAAAAAAATCATATAAAAAGAGGACATATTTAAATTGAGGTTAATTTGCTCACTTATCAGAAAACCTAAGAGCACTGTGAACAGTACCTTGCTTACTTAATATGATGCACAAACTGCTTGAAATATATATTTAAAAAACCCACAAAACAGATATATGCATATTAAAAATATACTTTCAGTAGTAAGTGAGAACAGGAGGAATTTTCAGGAGTTCATCAGGTATTCATTGAACTACACTTTTTCCTCGCACCTCTGCAAATAAAATACCATCTATCGGACTTTCTGAGAAAAAAAAAGTTCTAATGACAAAATGCCAACCTGAGTAGCCAGGTAAAATAGTTTTCTTTGGCTACCAGGTTAATTTAAACAAGATCATTTTCACCTGGACTTTGGTTTCGCAAGCTATACGAAAATCCAGAACAATTTTACAGCTAGGTGTATCTTCTATATAATTACAGTATACTTACATTATCAGTTACTGCATAATTTTATAGTAAAGCCATATATTTTTTAATGTGAGAATCTGAATTTCCCAGATAAAGGAATGCAATAAAATGTGAAATCAATAAAAAGAAATTTATTCACAACGTATGGGTACTAATCAACATGAGAAGTCTGCATACAAATCTTCCATATTACCTTTATACGTTGTTACATAACAGCAAGTTCCATCCACCTTCTCAGTTGGAATTGCATTGTATATATCTGCATCTAACGCCTTTCTATTTATGGTTTCAGTTGCCAAAACTTTAAATGGCTGAAAAGACAACAATTATTTAAACCTCACTCCATAACTTCCCATACGGACTCTAATATATTATAATTGACATCTACAAATCCAGCATCATTTTTTTTATTCCTAGTTTCTAATATTGCCTAAGAATGCAACTATTTCACAATACATTACAATCTGAAAATGCACCAAGACAAACGAATAAAACTATCACACCTGTTGTCATAGATAAATAATCATTTAATGAGGCTGCTTCCCTCCTTTCTATCCTGGGTTTATCTTTAGGAACAATCTGCTCCCCCACTTTGAAGTAATGTGTGTAATGTAGAAGAGTTCCAGCCTGGTGCTACAGAATTTCAATAGATGCCTTCAAGACATTACCATGGCAACAAAAGTTCCATGCATCATCTGAGGGACTAACTGCTCCTAAACTTCAGTTTAGAGATGGAAGCCCTACTAGTACTAAAATGATGGTGATAATAAACATACCAGAGTGATGGAAGCTGGTTAAAGCAGACACATTTTGAATAACATAATAAAGATTGTAGTCTTGAACTAAACCTTTCTTCCTGAAAGAATAAAGAGGTGAGTGTTCCAAGGAGTCTGAACAGACACCCAGTGGACATTGTGAAGTTGATATTGTTTTCTGAGAAATGGTGTTGGCACGACTTCTAGAAATAGGTTTAGATGAAGAAAAATCATTTTTGGTAAAGGTTACTTTTAAAATATTCTCCTGTAGAATAATATCCTTTCCCCCACTCTTTAGACTGTAAACTCTTTGACATAGGGACTGTCTATTTCACTATGTGGTAAAGCACCTAGCATGATGGTGCCCCAATGTTGGTTGAAGCCTCTAAGTACTACTGTTATTGAAATACATAAGAAAAAAGCGCCTGATTCTCTCCCTGTTTTGCACCTTCTACAGCAATCTACACCTGTGCATCATGGCTGTAAAATGCTACTTGATCAGATTACAGAGTAGCAGCCGTGTTAGTCTATATTCGCAAAAAGAACAGGAGTACTTGTGGCACCTTAGAGACTAACAAATTTATTAGAGCATAACACCTACATTGCACTAGTGTAGATGAATACAGAAGGTGCAAGACAGGACAGAATCAAGTTCACACTTTTTTCCTTCCGTTTCAGTACATATATACTTAATCTTCTGTTCTTCCACATAATACTTGACTAATTTTTGATAATTATGCACGTAACAAGTTCTTACTTTACCCTAACCTTCTGTCTGTTTCTTATAACGGTAAGAAACAGTAATGTAAGGAAGAAAACACACTAACATAACCACAATCAAAATAACATTAGCCCCAAGAACTTAAACGAACAAAATGTGAAACACCAAATACCTATATCATCGCCCTCTTTCGGGTCTGCAGGAGCTAACTCCTTGAAACAGAGTTAGGACTGGATCCTGCAAGAGCAGGGATTTCACAATACTTGCTTGCTGGGTTATAAACTCCTAAATCCTTTTAACAGGAGACTAAGGCCTGGTCCACACTACGAGTTTAGGTCGAATTTAGCAGCGTTAAATCGAATTAAGCCTGGACACGTCCACATGATGAAGCTCTTTCTTTCGACTTAAAGGGCCCTTTAAACCGGTTTCTTTACTCCACCTCCGACGAGGAGATTAGCACTGAAATCGGCCTTTCCGGGTCGGATTTGGGGTAGTGTGGACGGAATTCGATGTTATTGGCCTCCGGGAGCTATCCCACTGTGCTTCATTGTGACCGCTCCGGACAGCATTCTCAACTCAGATGCACTGACCAGGTAGACAGGAAAAGCCCCGCGAACTTTTGAATTTCATTTCCTGTTTGCCCAGCGTCGAGAGCACAGGTGACCACGCAGAGCTCATCAGCACAGGTACCCATGATGGAGTCCCAGGATCGCAAAAGAGCTCCAGCATGGACAGAATGGGAGATACGGGATCTGCTCGCCATATGGGGAGACGAATCAGTGCTAGCTGAACTCCGTAGCAGTAAACGAAATGGCAAAATATTAGAAAAAGTCTCAAAGGCCATGAAGGACAGAGGCCATAACAGGGATGCACAGCAGTGCCGCGTGAAAATTAAGGAGCTAAGGCAAGCCTACCACAAAGCCAGAGAGGCAAATGGAAGGTCCGGGGCAGAGCCGCAAACATGCCGCTTCTACGCAGAGCTGTATGCCATGCTAGGGGGTGTAGCCACCCCTACCCCAACCGTGTGCTTTGACTCCATCAATGGAGAATCACGCAACAGGGAAGCGGGTTAGGGGTACGAGGAAGATGATGATGAAGACAATGAAGATAGCTCACAGCAAGGAAGCGGAGAAACCGGTTTCCCCAACAGCCAGGATATGTTTATCACCCTGGACCTGGAACCAGTAACCCCCGAACTCACCCAAGGCATGCTCCCAGACCCCGAGGGCACACAAGGGACCTCTGGTGAGTGTACCTTTGTAAATATTACAATATTACAATACAGGAATACAAGCGTGTTTAATGATTAATTTGCCCTGGCAATCACGGCCAGTACAGCTACTGGAAAAGTCTGTTAACGTGTATGGGGATGGAGCGGAAATCCTCCAGGGACATCTCCAGAAAGCTCTCCTTGATGTACTCCCAAAGCCTTTGCAAAAGGTTTCTGGGGAGGGCTGCCTTATCCCGTCCGCCATGGTAGGACACTTTACCACGCCAGGCCAGTAGCACGTAGTCTGGAATCATTGCATAACAAAGCATGGCAGCGTTTGGTTGGCATGCAGACAACATCCATTCCTTATCTCTCTTTGTTATCCTCAGGAGACTGATATCATTCACAGTCACCTGGTTGAAATGGGGTGATTTTATTAAGGGGACATTCAGAGGTGCCCGTTCCTGCTCAGCTGAACAGAAATGTTCCCCGCTGTTAGCCACGCAGTTGGGTGAGGAGTGAAGTGATCATCCCAGAGAATTGGGTGGGGGGGGGGGTAGTTGGGTTTGTGCTGCATGTTAACCTGGAAACCGCAGCCCCTCCTTTTACACTGCAAACCCATTTTAAATGGCCAATCCAATGGGTGCTTGGTACGGGAAATGAGGGCGCTACTGTTTGAAACCATTCCCACATGTTAAGAAGGTTAAAAAAGCCAAAAGACTGTGGCTTACATTGGCTGCCTCCAAGCTGAAATCTGTTGCCTGGCACTGCGTGAGTGATCTCTCACACCAAACCAGCAGGCCCTCAATATAAGAGGAAAAACACGACCTTGTAACGAAAGCACATGTGCTGTGTAATGTGAACCGCAAAATTTAACGTGAAAGAGTGTACCCATTGTTCTCTAAAATGTGTCTTTTTTAACCACCTCTCCCTTCTCCTCCACCAGCTGCAAATGTTTCTCCTTCACAGAGGCTAGTGAAGATTAGAAGGAGAAAACGGCGGACTCGGGATGATATGTTCGCGGAGCTCCAGATGTCCTCCCATGCTGACAGAGCACAGCAGAATGCATGGAGGCAGTCAATGTCAGAGTGCAAAAAAGCACAATAGGAACGAGAGGAGAGGTGGCGGGCTGAATCGCGGGCTGAAGAGAGCAAGTGGCAGGCTGAAGAGGATAGGTGGCGTCAGCTTGCTGACAGAAGGCAAGAGTCGATGCTCCGGCTGCTGGAGCATCAAACTGATATGCTCCAGCGTATGGTTGAGCTGCAGGAAAGGCAGCAGGAGCAGAGACCGCCACTACAACTGCAGTGTGTCCTTTTCCTTCCCTCCTCCCCCACCCCTCCCGGGCTACCTTGGCAGTTATCCCCCTAGTTGTGTGATGAATTAATAAAGAATGCATGAATGTGAAGTAACAATGACTTTATTGCCTCTGCAAGCGGTGCTTGAAGGGAGGAGGGGAGGGTGGTTAGTTTACAGGGAAGTAGAGTGAACCGGGGGTACACCGTAGCCTGGCCGGTCACAAAACTGGTTTTCAAAGCTTCTCTGATGTGCACCGCACCCTGCTGTACTCTTCTAACTGCCCTGGTGGCTGGCTCCGCGTAATCAGCAGCCAGGCGATTTGCCTCAACCTCCCACCCCGCCATAAATGTCTCCCCCTTACTCTCACAGATATTGTGGAGCGCACAGCAAGCAGCAATAACAATTGGAATATTGGCTTCGCTGAGGTCTATCTGAGTCAGTAAAAGCGTGCTGGCAGAGTTTAAACGTCCAAATGCACATTCCACCACCATTCGGCACTTGCTCAGCCTATCGTTGAACAGGTCCTGACTACTGTCCAGGCTGCCTGTGTACGGCTTCATGAGCCATGGCATTAAGGGGTAGGCTGCGTCCCCAAGGATAACGATAGGCATTTCAACATCCCCAACGGTTATTTTCTGGTCCGGGAAGAAAGTCCCTTCCTCCAGCTTTCGAAACAGACCAGAGTGCCTGAATACGCGAGCATCATGTACCTTTCCCGGCCATCCCACGTTGATGTTGGTGAAACGTCCCTTGTGATCCACCAGGGCTTGCAGCAGCATTGAAAAGTACCGCTTGCGGTTTATGTACTCGGTGGCTTGGCGCTCCGGTGACAAGATAGGGATATGGGTTCCGTCTATCGCCCCACCACAGTTTGGGAATCCCATTGCACCAAAGCCATCCACTATGACCTGCACGTTTCCCAGAGTCACTACCCTTGATATCAGCAGGTCTTTGATTGCGTTGGCTACTTGGATCACAACAGCCCCCACAGTAGATTTGCCCACTCCAAATTGATTCCTGACTGACCGGTAGCTGTCTGGCGTTGCAAGCTTCCACAGGGCTATTGCCACTCGCTTCTCAACTGTGAGGGCTGCTCTCATCCTGGTATTCTGGCGCTTCAGGGCAGGGGAAAGCAAGTCACAAAGTTCCATGAAAGTGCCCTTATGCATGCGAAAGTTTCGCAGCCACTGGGCATCGTCCCACACCTGCAACACGATGCGGTCCCAGCAGTCTGTGCTTGTTTCCCGGGCCCAGAATCGGCGTTCCACGCCATGAACCTGCCCCAGTAACACCATGATTTGCACATTGCTGGGGCCTGTACTTTGTGAGAGGTCTATGTCCCTGTCAATTTCCTCATCACTCTCGTCGCCGCGCTGCAATCGCCTCCTCGCCTGGTTTTGCTTTGGCATGTTCTGGCTCTGCATATACTCCAGGACAATGCGCATGGTGTTCACAGTGCTCATAATTGCCGCGGTGATCTGAGCGGGCGCCATGATCCCAGTGCTATGGCGTCTGGGCTGAAAAAAGGCGCGAAACTATTGTCTGACAAAGGGAGAGAGGGAGGGGCGAGTGATGACATGGCTTACAGGTACAGGGAATTAAAATCAACAAAGGTGGCTGTGCATCAGGGAGAAACACAAACAACTGTCACACAGAATGCCGCCCCCCCCCCCCAAAGATTGAACTCAAAACCCTGGGTTTAGCAGGCCGCTGATTTCACGGAGGGGTGGGGGGGCAAACAAATACAGAACAAATCTGGTCCATCTATTTTTTACATCTTAAGCTGGCAGCAGACGGTGCAGCATGACTGATAGCCATCGGCATTTTCTGGGTGCTTGGCAGAAAATGCCGTATTACGACTGCTAGCCATCATCGTCAAGACGGTTCAATAGGACTGCCAGCAGGACTGAGTCTCCCGGAGACAAAACATGTCTGCCCAGGTGCCTCTGATTGAACTCACTGAGGAATATGACGATGACGGATATCAATCGTAATACACCATCTACTGCCAAAAGGCAAGGAGCTGCTGTTGTATAGCAATGCAGCCCCATGTCTGCCAGCACCTAGATGACATATGGTGACGCTGAGCTGAGCGGGCTCCATGCTTGCCGTGGTATGTTGTCTGCACAGGTAACCCAGATAAAAAGGCGCAAATCGATTGTCTGCCGGTGCTCTGACGGAGGGGGAGGGGCCTGACGACATGTACCCAGAACCCCCCGCGACACTGTTTTTGCATCATCAGGCATTGGGATCTCAACCCAGAATTCCAATGGGCGGCGGAGACTGCGAGAACTGTGGGATAGCTACCCACAGTGCAATGCTCCGGAAGTCGATGCTAGCCTCGGTACTGTGGAGGCGGTCCGCCGACTTAATGCACTTAGAGCATTTTATGTGGGGACACACACAATCGACTGTATAAAAACGATTTCTATAAAACCGGCTTCTATAAATTTGACCTAATATTGTAGTGTAGACATACTCTAAGAGAACCCATCAGAAGTGTTATGTGACCAATCATTTCCATCAGAGTTAAGGAAGAATGATGCCAGCAGGCCACCCCTGAAGTCATTGGGATATATCAACCAACCAAAGTCTCAAGGAAAGACCTCCTCAGAAAGATGCTAAAGAAAAGTGGGCTGAAGGAGGATAAAAAAGAGCAAATCACCCCAATTACTTCTCAAAAAGAAATCATCATTCAGATAAGGTTTTATTCCACCTGCCTTACCCTCAACCTGGTATGTGGACAGTTCCCTATTGCTGCCTTACACAATGAAAAGATGCATGGATCCACCAAGAATTCAAAGATGCACCAGCATTGCTAGAGCTAGATGTGGCTACAAGTCTCAAACGCCCTTGTCCCCAACCAGCCCACTGCAACCCCTCCTCCCCAGCACCCTGAGGCTCCCCCCAGCCAGTCCCACCATCACCCGGGTACCCACCACGCCCCCTCCTCCTCCTTCCCCCCAACATCCTGAGCCGCCCCCCCATCTCCCGGGTACCCACGGCACCCCTCCCCCATCACCTCGGTACCCACCGCGCCCTCTTCCTCAGCACACGCCCCCCGCCAGTCCCTCCATCACCCGGTGTCCACCACGCCCGAGCGGCTTCCTCTCCTCCCCCACGGCCAGTAGCTCCAGCGCGACCCCTGAGCTCGCCCCTCATGGGCGGCAGGTCCCCTCCGCACCCGCGGCTCCTGCCCCCGCTCGCTCGGCCGGGCCCAGGCGCTGCCCCGGTACCTGGCGCTCCCGCTTGGCCGAGGGCTCCTCTTTCACCTGCGTCACAAACAGGCAGGGCACCTTCCGCTGCACCGAGCCCAGGCGGCTCATGGCCCCGGCTCCCCTCACGCGCAACCGGACCGAGAGCGGAGCCGGAGCCGCCTCCCGCCGGCAGGGCAGGGCCGGGCCTGCAGCGCGCGCTGGGAAATGGAGTTCGAGGGGCGGAGGCGCCGAAGGGCCTCACGGCCTGCAGCTGCGCCCTGCGTGTGTGTGAGTGTCCCGCCCCCCGGGCCCGGCGGGTGTGTCTGTGCGAGAGTTGTAGCCTCCCCGCCGCACAGGGACCGCTCATTGCATCGGTCGCCCTCTGGGTGTTACAGGCCCGCACTCTCCTGCTCTAGGGATAGGAGGGAGGTTAGCCGTGTGGGTGTTACAGCCCCACCCCCTGCCCTGGGAATGGTTGGGGGGTAGCTGTGAGGGTGTTACAGCCCCACACTCCTCTACTCTAGGGATGGTCGGGGAGTAGCTGTGTGGGTGTTACACCCCCACATGCCCCTGCCCTAGGAATGGTTGTGGGGGTAGCTGTGAGGGTGTTACAGCCCAACATGCCCCTGCTCTAGGAATGGTTGCGGGGTAGCTGTGTGGGTGGTAGAGCCCCACAGTCCCCTGATGTAGGGAGGTGGGGCGCGAGCCTTGCGCTTGTGTGTTGCAGTTGGAGACCTTCATCCTCTGTCTCAACCTTGGTTCATCTCAGAAGTAGCCTCAATGTTGTAAGCTGCCTCTGCTGCAGTAGCTCAGCTCCATTTTCTACATCTGTGTTGTCCGTGGCTTTCATTGTCCTCTATTCAGTAATGTAAACACATCTTTCCTCACTGACTTTCCAGGCATGGAAGGGTGGATGAAACTCAGTGAAACCTGGTTATGGGAAAAGATAGAAATGAGACATTAGGCATATGGACAGGACTGGGCTGAGAGCAGTGATGTCTGCTTTCTCAGAAAGAACATAAACTAAATATCTGTCACTGGAAAATGTTGCTGGTTCCAACTCAATGTATTGTGAGGGTCCTATCCTATTTCCCCATGTAAGAATTTCTCAAGTACTAGCATGTGCTGTATGGTACTTCTTTGTGGAATGCCAGTTTCCTAAACTGTTCTCAACAAGGCCTATCCAAGTACCAGGACATTTTGTTATTTATTTTATGTATTTATTATTATTGTTAACAATACCATTTTTAATATGGAGAACTGTGTGGAGTCAAGACTTCTGTGTTCTATTCCTAGCTCTCCCACAGACTTGCTGTGTGACCTTATGGAAGTAACTGGTCTGTACCTCAGGGTACATCTACACTACAGGGGGGAGTCGATTTAGCGTAGCTGAATTCGACGTATCGCAGCCGACTTACCCCGCTGTGAGGACGGCGGCATAATCGACTTCTGCGGCTTTCTGTCAGCGGCGCTTACTCCCACCTCCGCTGGTGGAGTAAGAGCGCCGATTCGAGCGCCAATGGGACGCGATAAATCGATCCCCGAGAGGTCGATTTCTACCCGCCGATTCAGGCGGATAGTGTAGACCTAGCCTCAGTTTCCACATCTATAAGAAGTGGAATAGTGCTCAATTAACGTTTCTAAAGTGATTTGAAATCACAGAGAGAAAGCAGAATCATCTCAGGTCATAAACATCACAAAATAATTTGATTTATTAAAACTAATTTGGTTCTGGAGTTGGCCTCTGCATATTTCTTATTATGAGATAAACCCACTGGCACTGTTGAGCTTCAGAAATCTGCTGGAAAGCAGCACCCATTGAGATTCCTCAAACACCCTCTCACAGCTCTGAATATTTGGATCTGAGGATATAAAAGGGCTATGTAGAGCTAATTATTTCAGTTCTTTTCTTACCACAGCCAGTCGATAAAAAGTTCTATATGCATATAAATAAAAAGAAAACAAGGGAAGAAGAATTGGGACTGCTAAGCAGTAAAGATGGGGTGGAGATCAATCTAGGAATGGTCCAACACCTAAATAAATACTTCACCTCAGTTTTTAATAAGGGTAATGAGGAGCTTAGGGATAGTGGCAGAGTGGTTAATGGAAATTACTATATCCGAGGGGGAAGTCAAACACAAACTGCATAATGGGACTAAATCAGGGGGCCTGGATAATTTCCATCCAAGAATATTAAAGGATCTGGCACGTGAAATTGTAAGCCCAATATCAAGAATTTTTTAATGAATTTGTAAACTTGGGTGTTGTACCTTCTGACTTTAGGATTGCTAATATAGGACCTATTTTTAGGAAAGGAGGGGGGAAGTGATCTGGGAAACTACAGGCCTGTTAGTTTGACTTCAATTGCATGCAAGGTCTTAGTACAAATTTTGAAAGACAAAGTAGTTAAGGACATAGAGATAAACGGAAATAGGGATAAAATACAACATGATTTTACAAAAGGTAGATTGTGTCAGACCAACCTGATCTTTTTCTTTGAGAAGATAACTGATTTTTTAGACAAAGGGAATACAGTAAATCTAATCAGTAAGGCATTTAATACAATTCCACATGGGAAATTATTAGTTAAACTGGAGAAGATGGGGATTGATATGAGAATTGAAAGGTAGATAAGGAATTGGTTAAAGGGGCGAGGGTGACTATAGCAGGTCATAGTGAAAGGTGAACTGTCAGACTGGAGGGAGATCACTAGTGGAGTTCCTCAGGGATCTGTCTTGGGCTCAGTCTTACTTAACATTTTTGTTAATGACCTTGGCACAAAAAGTGGGAGTGTGCTAATAAAATCTGTGGATGACACAAAGTTGGGAGGTATTGCCAATACAGAGGAGGACTGGAATATCAAACAAGAAGATCTGGACAACCTTGAAAACTGGAGTACTAGAAATGGGATGAAATTTAATAGCACAAAGTGCAAGGTCATGCACTTAGGAACTAAAAAGATTTTTTGCTATAAACTGGGGATTTATCTGTTGGAAGCAACAGAGGAGGAGAAAGACTTAGGTGTATTAATTGGTCACAAGATGACTGAGGTGCCAATGTGATGTGGCCATGAAAAAGTCTAATGCAGTCCCTAAGATTCATCAGGTGAGGTATTTCCAGTAGAGATAAGGAAGTGTTTGTACAATTATACAAGACACTGGTGAGACCTCATCTGGAATAACGTGTAATTCTGGTCTTCCAAATTTAAAAAAGAAGAATTCAGACTGAAATGGGTGCAAAGAAGGGCTACTAGGATGATCCAAGGAATGGAAAACCTACCTAATGAGAGGAGATTCAAAGAGCTTGGCTTGTTTAGCTTAACCAAATGAAGTCTGAGGGGAGATATGATTGCTTTCTGTAAATATCAGGGAGGGAGAGGAGTTATTTAAATTAAGCACCAGTGTTGACACAAGAACAAATGGATATAAACTGATCACCTACAAGTTTATGCTTGAAATTAGACAAAGGTTTCAAGCCATCAGAGGAGTGAAATTCTGCAACGGCCTTCCAAAGGGAGCAGTGGTGGCAAGAAACCTAACTGGCTTCAAGACTGAACTTGATACATTTATGGAGGGGATGGTATGATGACTGCTAATAATGGCATGTACCCAATCTTCGACTGCTAGTAGCAAATATCCCCAGTGGCTGGTGATGGGACACTAGATGGGTAGGGCACTGAGATACTACAGAAAATTCTTTTCCAGATGTCTGGCTGGGTTCGCAGAGTCCTAGAGCCTGGCCTCCAGCCCGAGCCCAAGTTTCTACACCGTAATTCAACAGCCCTTTAGTCTGAGCCTCGCAAGCCCAAGTCTACTGGCACGGGAGGTGGGGAGTCCGTTAGCATCCCTGCAGTCATTGGACAAACAATAATCTGTAACCCACTAACTCCCTCTTTTTGTCCTATGACTGCCGCAGTGTTAATGGGCCACTCTGCCTTCAATGGTCCCTTACATAACTACTTATGCTAAATACTCTGTTCCACCTTGCATTTTGCTTTGACTTGAGAGTTCCTTCCCCAGACTTGAAAAAGAGCTGTGTGTGGCTCAAAAGCTTGTCTCTCTCACCAACAGAAGTTGGTCCCACAAAAGATATTACCTCACCCACCTCGTCTCTCTAATATCCTGAGATCGATACGGCTACAAACTATACATGTTCCTGCATCAAATATTTATGTGAATGTTGTATGTTCTCTAACTCATGTGAATTATGTTTCAATCTGTTTTGAATCAGAGAAACACTAGGATAACAGACTATTTGGAACAACTTCGTTTTTTTCTATTTTACTCAACAGCAATGGAAATAAGTGAGCAGTCCCAGTCTAAACAGTCATGTGATGTCATTTGTGATGATGTCATAAGAACTAAAGTAACAATGAGAGAAATTCTGGAAGTTTGAATTTGTGCACTCACTAGCAACCACTTTCAATGTTTCATCACTTCGGCAAACCTGGAGAAGGTACCGTCTGATTTGTAATTAGTTTAAATATAATTTTGAGATATACTATAATTGGAAGTCTGTTTTTAAAAGGAAATAGAGCTTAGATCCTGAAAACCACTGTCTTCAGAAAAAGGAGTTTTGTTTCCATACACATTGGTAGTTCTTACCTGTACGTTTATACTCTTCTTGTATAAAGACAGTGGAGTAGAAGTACAAGAGGTGACAATGGCAGAAGTTGGGAATGACTGCTATTTCTATTTTTATTCCACCTGCATAAAGGTAAATATTGTAGAATTTACAGTGGTTTGCATCTTTGATTTTCCTGCTGTAAGGAGGAGTTTATCGTTTGAACTTACGTCTCTTCTTTATATACTGATATATATGTCACTCTGTGTGTGTCTCCATACATGTATATTTGACATACCATAGGTCCTGATTTTGAGAGATGATAAGGACCTGCAGTTTCCATTCACCTCAGATTGATTTGTGCGTGCTCATTAGTTCTGAAAATCAAGCTCACACTCTAAAGGGGTTTAATTCATGAAAAATGTGCACTGTTCAAGGTGGACTTTTGTAAACACTACATAAAGATCACTCAACACACTTCTGTTTCATTTAAACAACTTTTTTATAACCTGTGATAAACAACATTTATAAATTTGTTAGACAACAGGAACTTTGCCTGGTATTGATAGTGTGACTAACTGACTTTCCTTAATACTGCTTTTTTGAAATCACTTCATTCCTAATATCAGAGGGGTAGCCGTGTTAGTCTGGATCTGTAAAAAGCAACAAAGAGTCCTGTGGCACCTTATAGACTAATAGATGTATTGGAGC